AGCAAACCGGTACACTAATTACAACTCTTGAAACAAGCGTCTTCATCTTCATAGTGCACGAGAAATTTTTTCTATTTTATTTCGGTCAGTAGTTCAAGATTGCAGTCATCGTTCATTGATCTTCATCCTTAGTAGAGTCTTGTTAGGTTGAGACTATCCATCATATCTCGCCTCAAATCTAACCATTTTCTAATTATGTTAATCTATGCTGAACATTGTGTTCGATCTACGTTAAGCTTCATTTACACATTATGCAGAGTTACAAGACGACGGAGCACAAAATCAAGAGAGAGTTTGAGGCTTATGATCCAATAAAGCGGGTAGGTCGATTGGTTGGTTTTCAAGGTGTTTATGACTCATTACTGCTCTTAGTAAGAAGTAATTGTTTCGCACTCGTGGCGAGTGCTAAAGCAAAAAGGCTACCAAAGGTTCATATGCACTAATGTGTAGGCTGAAAACTATTGTGGTTTATCTTAAGATAGTAACTAAAGATTAAAAACTAACTAAAGTTTAAAAAGTCAACATATTTATATAGCTTCTTTAGCTAGTCATAGTTGCTATGTCAGTGATCCACGTGCTTGGTAGTTTGAGAGTAAGTGTGTTAGTTGACAACGCCACGTCAACTATTCGTGTGCTTGTTAGCGCAATCCGGTACGTCATCCATCCACTAGGAGTGGGATGGATGGTGGGGATAAGATCTTATCTCCTTATACTTGTTGGGAAGAGCTATATAAGAGTAGTACCATTGTTGGTATATCTTATATTTAGAGTTTATGTTTCCATTTTCTTGTGAACTTATCTCTAAACCTTAGTGTTATAATGGTATCAGAGCAACTTTGCTCTTTCCTTAAATGTGGATTTCTCTCATGGAATAGCAAGTGTATGATGATGGAGTGCAATTTTAAGATTGTATAGAGGTTGACAGAGGTCATTGATCTACATGTAGAGAGAGGGGGAAAGCGAGAAATTGTGATTACATAGATATGGACGGACTTAACAATAATCGAGTATCGCACTAGCCGATTTCTAACCTATATGATATTCAACTTTGTTACATGAAAAAACATCATTTTTGGATGTATCTTGTGGTTTGTTTGGATGCAAATTTTATGACTAGAGTGATAGAGTTGAAAGTGCCTTTAATTTTTCCAATAGTTAATTATTGAGAGACTTGAGATTGTACCATATCCATTATATACTGAATGTTTCATAGATTTAAAAAACGAACATTGGCCTGATTCAATTCAACACTTATGTAGAGATTAATATACGAACATAAGAGATTGTGAAGAGATTTTCTTGTGAAAAATTATGGAATATAATACTTTAGAAATGTGATAGAATCATCTATACTTTTTGTGACTTTTTTTTAGAGGTTAGATATAAATTATACTCACTTTGTATTAGAGTGAATGTGAGAAAGCATGGGGACATCAATTGATATGAGTGAGGTTCTCAACGCAATCATGGCTGAGATGAAGGAGTTGAGAAAAGCGATAGTAGATTGACATACCAAGCAACAAGTCATGAAAGATAAAATCTTTACATTGGAGAGTGAGAAACTAGAAAGAAAAAGAGTTGGAGAGATGAAAATTGAACCTCAAGTTCAACCTTCCTAGCCTTTTATTTCTAGTATGATCCATTTTGCCATTGTTGTATGTTGCAGATTCCATCACACGTTAGTGAAACTATAAGTGTGAGTTGATTTATAAATACCCTCATACTTCTCTTCTTTCTTCCAATCGACATAATCCACAAACACGTAGATCAATGCAAAAATCAGATAACTAGTGTCTACGGCCATGATTTTGAACTTAACAACAATATAGTAACCAAATGTATCTATCTCAGTCATGAAAGTATGTTTAGAAATTATTTTTGGTTTGAACAAAAGTATTCAAGTACATTTTATATTATTATTTACTTCTTTAATCTCATATCATTTGTATGTTATGTTTATTTTTATCATTATGAATCTTTTTTCTCAATCTTGACTTATTAGAAAAGGTTGGCATTTAGATCTGACCTTTGAATTCTAGCAAGTACTTATCTCTTTGATAGGTTAAACTTTGCAAGTACAGCTATCTTTTTACCTGCATGAACTCAATGCAATCTACTATTTACCTCCGTTCTATTGCAAAAAATGGTCTGCACGATTCTAGATCTAGTCCAAGTGTGCTAGCAAAGTTTATTATCCTAAGATCAAGTTTCGCGAAAGTATATAATGCTCAAAGAAAGAGCACTACTCACATTAGTCTTTCTAAGGCCTGACATTTGTTTCAAACATAGCCACCATGGGTGTTAGTGTAGTATCCAGCTAGTGGAGCGAAGGGCTGTGCGTTAACTAATACGTCATACTCGTTTTCATCTTGATGCCAAGGAGCTGATCACACATGCTTGTCGTTACTGCTCCGAAGAGTGAGCACTGGAGTGTATGCTGGCGCTTGTGTGCATAAACTATTCCGATCTCCGGTACACTAATACTCAATGATGCCAAGCAGTTTTTTTGTGTAGCGAGACTAGCGATTCAATTCAGTTCAACTTTAACAAACTCATATTGATGCATTAGAGGCAAATAGAAAACGTCTTCAATAGATTGAAGATCAAGCAAATCCATTACTAATAAATTGGATGGTGGGGATAAGATCTTAACTCTTTATACTTGTTTTAAGAGCTATATAAGGTAGACTATAACCATTGTTTGTATATTTTATTTTAAGAGTTTATATTTTCATTTTCGAGTGATCTTTTGTTTAAATCTTAGTGTTACAATTGTAGAGATGAAAACTATATACAAAATTAATATACACTCGAATATCACAACGAGATCTATATATTAAAATAAAATTAAAACTTTGTACATGTTTGCATTTGAAAATTAATGCAAAGTCAAATATATGTATTGTAGAAAGTTATTATTAGATACAACGAGGAAGTAGAGTTTGTAGCAAAAGTACAAGATCTAGATTAGAAGAAAAAATGGCTAAATAAGCTTGCTAGAGATGTGACATCTCATTAAGAGTATTTCATATGATTATCAAACCATTTTATTTTTAGTTTGAATCAAAGGATGATTAATCTGTAATATAGATAAATTTCATTTAAAATTGCACATATATGGTGAGAGGATTAAGATTGAAGATGTAATATGATCTATTTATGTCTATACTAAAGATATTTCTCAAAACACTAATTTTAACACATTGTAACATCTTGCATATGTTATTATATCAATTAAGCAAATTACAAGTTATGAATCAACAGAGAGAAAATTAATAATTTTTTAAAATTCTTTTTTTAAGAACTTGCACACTTTTTTGACATTATGGCTTTGATGAACCAAACTTTTCCTCACATAAATTACAATCTCATGCTTATATTCAAAATATTGTATTATTCAGTATATTTCAAATTGAAGAATGATAAAATTGAAAAAAATGATAAATATATGGGTTGAAAATACTTTAATTTCATCTCTACTTGAAAACAAGATGAAATCTTCAACTTGATGTTTAGTTTTTATTTTCCCCAACCTTGCTTACAATTAAAAGTCGAAGTGTTTTTAAAATTTTCATTTGTCTAAGTTGACACTTGCTTGAAAAAGTGAAAATAGTGTTTATCATTTAGAAACTCTATTGTAACCATTGCCGAACATATGATATTAGTCTTTACGATTCATATGATTGATCTAATTCTTGTATCGTTAATTATAAGATCTTATATATATATATATATATATATATATATAAATTTTATCTGGATAAGTCCTATATTATATATTTAGTAAGACATATGACATTTCTAAGACCTATACTCATATTCTTGATTTTGTTTCATGCATGTGATATTGATTTCATTTTGCTATATTATTTGGTACACAGATTAATTTGTAGAACATGGGTATCACTTTTCGTGACACGCTCCCGAGCAGATGTCTATTAACAAAAGACCAACTACTTTCATTTATGTCATATTTCTTTGTGCTTTTGGGATTTCAGTGTCGGATGAATAAATTAACTCGGTTGAAGCTATCAGGTAGCTTATTATTTACCACCTCTGGTTTATGTGGGCCCCGAGTCGAAGATGTCCCTCGCTCAGGCGTAGTAGTTCTGCCGTGGCACTCAGCACTGCAATTCTCTCTTACAATCATCGTACTCAGGATATTTGACTAATTTTGACCTTTTACTTCTCCTCTCAAAAAGCTATCCACTGGAACATTTCCATTAGAATGCGAGCCCCCCCATCGTCCAAAAAGACATCGAACCATTTGTCGTATTGCACCAGTTGTCCTCGTTGGCAACTTTGACGAAAAGCAAGTTTCTCGACAGAGCAGGTGCATAGCTGAATGGCGCATGGGGTTGGACACTCGGGCGATGCGGGCGAATGTCCAACCCAATCAAGAGGGTACCCTCCTCGGATATCCGTGGGATCTACTTCCGCGAAATTTTTAGGGGATTTCAGGGAACTTGATGGGAAGAATGGCGGCCCCATGTTGCACTTCAAAGACGGTTCAAGACAACTGGTGTTTCCTGCAGCTCTTCTGACTGAGAAACGAAGAGGTGATACGAGCGTACAAAGACCGGCCAAACCGGGACCCCAGCTCGGGAAGCCCGGGGCAGAGTGCGGTGAGATTCAAGTCCGTCAAGTAACTCAAGCTACGACGTTAGGGATGTTACCATACCTTCAAATCGGTCAGCCCAGTTGAACGGGAGCCGTTGGATGGTGGCCCACTGAGGGGCGGCCATATCTTCAGTCACCGGTTAAGAGATTAGTCCAGCCGATTGTCGCTGACCTGAGGGCAGGGAGTGGAATGGGCCGAAATGTGATTTGGAACTCATGTGCAACCTCCTGCCGGAGATGAGAGATTTTTAGCCAGATCGACGGTCGGGAGGAAGCTCTGGACGGTTAAGGATGACCAAGTGGAAATGCGGCACAATGATGCGACATGACAAGCGGAGCCTGGCCAGGCTGCCCCTCTTCCTATCTCTTGCTTTAGACAGACTCCTCCGCCTTTGCTTCGTTCCGCTCTCACCGCCCGCTCTCTCATGGAGGCCTGAGTTCTCGACGTCGGGCCTTTCCAAGCCATTCTTCGTCGCTCCTTCCGATCCCTGTCAGTGGGATTTTTGCCGCTCTCTTGCTCTTCACTTCGCTCTTACGCTCTCTTACACGGTCTTGAATTTCCTGTCAAGGCCACCACCACCACCACCACTATCATCGATTGTCCTTCAACTTCTCTCGATACTGTACATCGATTCCGGAGATTGCTAGGTCTTTTTTGAAACCTTTCGCCGTTTCTTGGAGTGTTCACTTCTACTACCGCTGCTGCTACCGCAACTACTTAGGGGATTTTATCGGACTCGTGTCGACGGTTACCACGTGCTTGGGATTTGGATTCTGGGGATATTGTCACTGGTGTGTTTGCTGTTGCTTCTGCTCTCGAGGTGGAGGTCGCTTCGAGTTTGGGTGACGTTCCTGCTGCTGGTACTGAGACTACTTTTGGCGTCACCACTCGCTACTTTTGGTTTATACAAGTGTCTGCTGCTGCTTCTTCGCGTTCTTCATGTATTGGATTTCTTCTGCCATCGCTGCTGCACGAGACGGAAAGTGCAACAGTGGTTGCGGGTTTCGGCCTGAAAAGATTTGGACATTGGAGTGTTTCTAGCAAAGGTTGTCGGATTCTGTTACTGTTCACTCGACTTCGCTATCCCGAACGACATTCTGATTGTTGTAAGGGGTTTCTTTTAGGTTTCCAACGACCGCTCGAGGAAGTACGTCATCGAGGCTCTGATTTCTTGGGACTAGGTTTCCACGAAAAGGATAGATAGGACACGAAGAAAATGACCAGCGCGTTAGACATGTCTCTTGACGACTTGATCAAGACCAACAAGCAGGTTGGGCGTGGGGGTGGAAGAGGAGGGAAGACTCCGAGTCGCAGAGGTGCGAGCAACGCATCTGCGGGAGGTGGTTACAGCGGCGGCAAGACATCCGGACCTGCACGGAGACAAACAAATCGCACTAGTGCTCGACCTAATCCTTACGCCACTGCTAAGGCAAGCAAGCGGCATTCCCTAATGCATCTCCTCATTGGCAATGCCAGACAGCGTGTAGAGCGTTCCTTCCCTTGTGGATAAGTTATGTAAAGACAGTGAAGTAGCTCATGGTCGTTTCTTCAGGCACACCATGCTCAGAGAGTCCACACCGTTTTTTTAAGCCTTTATATATGTGTGGGACGGTGCTCTATGAAGACCTATGGTGTACTCGGGAGCGGGTTTGCTTTTGTGCCAAATATGGATGGAAATGAAGGGCAAATATCTGGAGATATCTGGTGGTGCATGCTCTGCCGCGGCTCTCCTTTTTGACGCTCACTTTAGTTCATCCTCGGCTGCACCGCTGCTTCTCATGAGAGGTGGCGAGCGCTCTTACATATGGCTGATTTTACCTGACACACATCCTGGGAGGAGGTATCACATCTACAGTTCCCAGGATGTGGCATCTCCCTCTGCATCATCATTGACAAATAGTAACCTTGCTCCATGTATTGTTCTGTGGTTATGAGTGTATTGTATGGATATCTGTGCTATTGCTGATGACGAGTGTGATGGTGCACGCCTTGTGTACTCTGTCGGAACAGTCTATTCGCCGGGCTCCAGAGACCACCTGGCAGCATGATCTCTTTGAAGATGGTACAGGTGCTGGGGTTGCTCCCGGTGGCCGGGGTATGGGGATTGAAACAGGTACCAAATTGTACATCTCTAATCTCGACTATGGTGTGTCCAACGACGACATTAAGGTACTATCAACTCGCATTTTCACTTGCAGTGTCTGTTGTTGTTTTTCACTGTGCCCATTGTAGTTGAAGCGTAGATACAGTCCTGTTCGTTTGTGAAATCTTTAAACATCCTCCTGCCAGTCTTAATGGGATGGTTCAAATTTATTTAGGGACATCTCGCCAGACTTTGTGTTTGTTTTTAAATCCTCGAAATTCCAAGGACATATCATCTGATTATTATTCACTTCTGATCCTTTAGGAATTATTTTCTGAGGTGGGTGATCTGAAGCGCTGCTCGATACACTACGACAGGAGCGGCCGATCGAAGGTGAAATTCGTCGTCACTTTGATGATCACCTGAATGTTGAAAGCTACCAAGTCTTGCAATCTTAGACGGTGACGATTTACAGAGTCCCGGTCTTCTGGTTTGTTCAAACGTTCAGTTAATTATGTAAATGACAAAGCCATCTTGAAATTTAGCCTCTGAATAACAGTTTTGAGTTTTGACCACATGTTTCTCGCAAATTTTGCACGCGAAATTTGTAAGACTTTTAGGTTTTTAGGCGTTTTTATTGTAAATAATGTCAAGGCGATCTTTTGGATTTTGATTGATGTCCTTGTCTTGTGATTGCTAAGGTGCCATGCTTGGTATTATGAAATCTGCTTATATCTAGGTGGCCTGCTCTTCCCGGTTTCTACGGCATGTGTGGCTTAATGTTTCGTTTCAATCTTCGTGGTTGACAGGGCACTGCAGAGGTTGTCTTTTCGAGAAGAGCGGACGCCGTAGCAGCGTTGAAAAGATACAACAATGTACAGTTAGATGGCAAACCAATGAAGATTGAGCTAATTGGGACAAATTTAACCACGGCTGCACCTCCGAGGGTTACTAATGGAGCTGTGGTGGCCGGCGCCGGAGGAAGGGGCAGGACGGTTGTAATGACGTAAGTAGCACGAGCTCCTAGTTGGAAGACTCAGTAATGTGCAGATTTTAAGCATTTGATTTTTTGCTTCTTCACACACTTCTGAATATGCAGTTGTTAGGATTAGTGGAAGCGTGTTGGTCCTTGTCCACATGCTCCGACTTAGGAGATCATACCTTGAGACTGTTTACGTCCTCATTTTACTGAAGTCAACTTCTCCTGGAGCGTTTTTGAATTATATACTTAACTCTGTCAGGCTGCTCATGTTTTTAAACTTTTCGACATCTTAGTCTACCACTGCTTACGTGCACTAGACGTTATTGTGAGTGCACCTACTACACCTCAGATACAGTTATTTGTTATTAACCCTTCATGGCAAATAGATATCCCTCAGATCGAAATTTTGTAGGGGTTGGTGAGAGTATAGCCAGCGTATACGTTGTTAATGGAGCTTTGATTTTAACTCCAGTATGTATATACTGTTTCCTCTGTAATTGCAGCCCTGGTTTTGCACGAGCTGCGGCTGCAGCCTCTTTGGAGAGGAGGGTCGTTGCTAGGTAGGGTTTGGCATTAAATACATAGTATAACAATCTGTCGTTCTCAATGTGCCACTATTTTAGAAGGGGAGGAAGGAAGATTCTGTTGTGAATCCTGAAGGCACTGTGTAGGATACCTTACGTGTAAACAGGCTATCTGTGTCTTGAATGTTGGAACCGGAGCTGATCATTCTTTTCGTGCCGTGACAGTCCTAGCAGTCGAGGAGGCAGGGGAGCTCCCGGAGGAGGGAGGCGGGGTGCGGGCAGCTTCAGAGGGAGGGGAAGAGGAGGACGAGGGACCTCAGCCGGCCGCGGTAAAGGAGGCCCTGTTGTCGAGAAGACTGCTGAGGACCTCGATGCTGAGTTGGAGTCATATCACGCAGAGGCTATGCAGACTTCTTAATCTAACTTTCTTTCTATTAGATTAAATTTTTGGTGGGTCCTTTAGCAGATGTAGAAAACGCTGAATCTACGCATACATTTACAGAAGCTTTGCAGAAAGAGGTTCTGTGTTGGATTAGCCAGTAGTTTTGAATCAGACAATTTCTTCTGTTTTTGGCGTCCGTTTGGATCGCACATCTCCTTCAATGGATGGGAGAGTAGTTGATAGAGACAAGTGTCTCTCATAAAGACATGTCCTTTTTCTGGGCTTCTCAGCGCTGTACAGTAAAATGTTTATGCCGCTCGTTTGGGTTGTTCAGATGAAAGCTATCCATTCATAAATGGTACATTCATACAGAATTGTCTACTCTCTTTACTTTTGTCTCTTTCACTTCTTCTCTACATTGTACGCAACTATTGTGTTCGTTGTTACTCGCTGCGCCTACATGGATGAGTTATGCGATCATAGTGAGAAATTGCCCACTGCAGTTGGTGTGGTTCTTTCTACATCCCCAAGTTTCGTGGTCCGGGGGATCTCACATTGTACACACACACACGTGATTGCGTTGAGCTTTTTACTCTGTCGATGAAATGGACTACTTACTTCTTACTAGCATCAAAAAGTTTCAAGAAACGTCGACGTGATGGAAATTCTCGATAATAACTTTGAACCATAAGTTCAATCTGAAATGGAACGTTTTCACGGAATAGCTCGAGCACTGTATTCGAGTAGGTCCTACCGTCCACAGGGGCACAGAATTGTATGCTTAAGACGTCTGATCATGTTCGAAAGTCAAAACGGTTTGTACAAAGAAGATAAGAGAAAATCTAAATGTATGATCGTACAGGGTGTCATTTGTACTTATTAAAGTGGGTATAGTTAGGCTAAATGTGACCAATACGCACTTTCCTCTTGAAGAGAATTGTGTGGTGGCCGAGAATATAGAAGACTCGTTGCTGATGCGTAACTCGTAATCTGTATATCTGACGAAATCAACCGTAATATGCTCTGCAAAGTAGTGTCGAGGTAGGAGCAAGCTTCCTCACGTATATAAATCTGCGCGGTATTCGCTGAAGATTCCATTCTTGCATGCATTGTTCCGAACTCATGAACTTTAAGTCTGGGTATGCAATGTCGAGATACTGTGGGAATGAAGTGTTAACAACCTGAGAAGGAATGGTTGTAGATATGAAAAACACGCAATTATGATGGATTCATTTCAAGGAACAGTCTGGGTACCAGTATTACACGCAACAGTAGTACGGAAGAACTAGAAACGTTCAATTTTACCCGAATATGAAGTACCCTTTATAGCCTGAATATCTGTAATGTATAAGGTTGATTTGAATTGCATGGGACGTGGACTTAACTCAAAAGTTCCTTGTCTCTCAAATTAGAGTGGTCGAAGTCCCGGTTACCTCACTTAGAAGTAGCAGGGAATTCCGACACTCCAGTTTCCTATCAATTCGATTTAGGACTTAAATGGCCGACAGCTTGTCTCACATGAATTGGATCCGAGATATAGATCTTCCGTTAAAGAATGCTCATGTAATTTAGACACACCCTATGTTAACCTAGAGTAGTTATTGGTAATTGGAGATAACTCATATAAACAAGAGAAAGTTTAACCTTAGAAGATAAACGATTTAGTTTCTACTGATCAATCGCGTCTATCACAGTTCAAACGTTTTGAAGTTAATAGGTATATTCAAGAGATAAACACGAGAATTCTTCTTGAGCACTGTGATGTAACTTTGAAGCCTAAGGCGGATAGTAACCAAAACCAAACATATGAAGCCTCGAAGTAGAAAAACCATGCTCTACAAAGCCCCTAAACTGGTCGCAGCATATTTCGGAAATATATTTGGCCAGTTCCACATTGTTATGATTGATTTTATCTAATATGATAATGTCTTCTTCCTTACCTATTTATTCACTTCACATGCATCCACACAACAATGACATCATTTAAATGAATCAAAGTCCCATGGTTTGATGTTTAAAATGATCAGGTTAGTGTAGCAGAGGTTGTGATTATAAATCGTACACATGGTAGTTTTGATTGATAATAAGCCATATGCTTCAGTACTCATCGAATGAAACAGCAAGATGTTTAAGTGTAGTGATAAATTGATTGGTGGTCTTTTATATTGTAGCTTTTAATGTTTATGCAGCTTTGGAGGATATTTAGTATACATTTTCAAGACTACGAGAACTAGATTTGGTGTTTGATGACCCATGTCTAAGGATCTACTTGTAGAGATTTACAAGCTGCCTCAGAGTGAATGCATTGGTTTAGGCATGACTTCTTCCGGTAGCTCTAGCAATATCTAGATTGCTATCTTCCGGATTTTTCAATGTGGCATGACGAATGTTTATTTGGATGAGTTAATATATCGTCTGTTCACAACTATCTTTTCGTAATTCTCAATTGTCATGTTTTAATCAAAGGTATATGCTTCTTGTTAAATCTAATCAGTTTTCTTATCCTGAACGATTTCATAAGGTGAATTATTGTTTCGTGGGGTACATTCATAAATTCTTGTACTTTTCACGAACTATGTAATAGTTGGACGAAGTTATTGACATGTAAAGGTTTGAGTTTGGAGTGTAATAGAGGTTGTGTGAGCTTTCACATATGTGAAATCCATGCATAATAGTGATATATGTGAAAGAATGTTCACATATACTGCTAATGATTACTAATCATGATATCACTTCTTTCTTATGTGTAATCATTTTAAAGATCAACAACATTACATTGTCAGAATCTATCTGAAAGATGTGCAGTTACAACAACAAAGGCTCAAATCTGTGACACTTCCTAATAATACAGAACGGATTTCTTCAAATCGTACTTCTCATGTAACATTAGAATGAACGTCGTAAGTGTGTTGAGTAGTGGCAACAGATTTCAACATGCGCTGGTCGAAAATGAGACGGTCATCAAAAGCTCTACAGCTAGCTAGCTATATAGGAGGCTTGCCATGCCATGACATGGCTACGGCCAGGCCATTTGGTTCTTCTACATCAAGAACCAAATCAGACGCTACGCTACAAGCTTGTCTTGATAAAAATACACAAATTTACAACTACTTATAAGCTGCGAAAATTGACGTTCGACCCTATTTGGATGTTGTGAGAGCTGCTGACATACTTGTAGCTAAATGCGTTTGTCCGAACTTTTTACAAGGCTGTTGCACTTGCAGTATTCTGCTTTACATCTTCGAGACAGGAGCTGCCACTTGGAGTCCTGGAAAATGAAAAATAGCAGGTGGTCATTACATACTTGCAGACCTGACAAAGACCCCAGAAAAACACAGACAGACACATTTGCAGTGCAGAACAAAACAGGTAGTGTAGCAGCACGGAGATCGATGTAATCTCGGTGATACGCGCGACAGCAAAGCACCTCTCGAGAAACTCGGCAGTATGCAAGAAGCGTAGTTTGAAAGCAAAAAGCATTTTTTCCATCTAATTTAACGATGAAAAGTATGTAGGATCACTTCCGCTTACCCAAGACTTTCGCGTTCACTATACTGGGGCAAGCTTTGGGAGCGGGTGAGTTTTCATCCAAGAAAGGGAGAACCATGTTGGAGTTGTGCCAGACAGGGAACCCTTGTAATTTACCCTGTTTCACAGAATCCGGCAAGACATTTCATAAATTAAGACCTCTTTACGGATTCGGAACATGACATCAATGCAAGACGATACAAAGTGTTTCTTCAAAACAGAGAGGAATGCAAGGATAAATCCGCAAGATCATAAGTTCGCACAATCAACAAGGTGAAGCTTTGTAAAGAACTGTACTGACCGCAACGTTCAAGGCAGCTAATGTCGCCATTCCTTCTCTTGTCCACTGCACATGACGTGATGAAGTTCAAAAAGATTCACGAGATGCACACAGAACGTCTTTTCAATACATGCTACATCCCTAGTTTCTCTTCCAGCGATCTCATCGTAATAAAAGATCTTCAGAAGCGAGCAAAGATGTTTTCCTCTTATATTTAGCTCTGTGCTTTTACAACACCAATAGTCCGGAGACAGACTAGAAGAAACCTTCAAAAGCTTCAAGTGCCCAAGTAAAACATGATGACATAGTTCACTATTGAGAATTCTGCATCGCGTTGCACATGAACAAATGAGCTCCTGAAGTGAAATGCAGTTATGATAGAATGTTGTGATTTGTTACTGAAAGTAATGATAACAGAGGAGTACATGTACGGTGGTACGGAGTGTAACTCAAACGAACAACATGACCTTCGGCATTTTTACCTTAGATGCTGAGGCAATGTGGGGTACCACAACTGCGTTCGGCAGTTCTCCTAGCCCTGGCTTCATGTAAGGTTCATCCTGTGTTATCATTACAAGAGTGGGTGAGTCAGCTCGCAGGCACTGACTTTCCCACGCCTGCTCCATACAAGTAGCACGTAGAAGGCAAAAGCTGACAGTAGAATATATTGTAATTCTACTTTCCAGTTATCTTGCGGTAAATTGGAGATAATATCGGCAGTATGCGATGACATCCGCCAGCTGATCAAACTGAAGTTTGTAAGTATGTGAAAGTGCGAAAGTTGCTGCGCATACCTCGAAGACATCGAGTCCAACTCTGAACATTGGATTTACTTTCAAGTGTTCCACCAATGCTACTTCGTCGATGACTGGTCCTCTACTGGCGTTTACCAGAACGGCTTCCTGCAGTTTACAGGTAAAGACGGATCCTTGGTAAGCTATTCACTGGGAGCAAAGCATCGACGGCTGGAAAAGAACTCTATCCATACCCGTAGTGTACTAGCCTTCTACCCTTGAGGTGCTTTAAGTTGTGAGCGAGTCCTCAATATAATAGTTGCATTTACCTTTTTCATCATGGACAACCTTTCCTTGTTGATCAGATGATACGTGGTCTTGTCAAGAACAGGATGTAGACTCACCTGAACCATGGCCAAGATCATTCACACTGTTTGCTTTAGTACATCGTTAAATTATCGAAAGTTGAAAAACTTGAAGGCCCTCAGAAAAGCATTCCGCCAATCATAGATTCATCTTCTTCTGCATAATAGACATATTAAGCGCTCATACGCTTCCAGATAGGCACCTTCCAATGACGTTAATGTATGCATAGTATTTTGATTGTATTTGAAGAAAGCAGTAAGTTTTGGATCAGCTTAGCAAAGAGTTAGTTGAAGACTAGTACCACGTCGGCTTCTCTGAGCACTTCCTCGGCCGAGGACGCTCGTTTCCACGTCACAGGGGTCTCTCCTTGAGACTTCAAGAAGTTTCCGTACGCTTTAGCACAGAACAATATCAAAGTTTTGTTAGAGTGCAGCTAGCATTAAGCTTCTAGAAAGAAGTATTATTTCATGCGACAAGGCCGGTAAGAATGCTTCAAAAGGCTGAAAACAATGCCTGCAATATGACTTGTGAACTTTAGCCTGCAATGTAAATCTCAATGAATCAACTCTGAATTCTGCATCTGCAGGTTTTCTTCGCTGATTTCTTCTTCCCATGCAGAGTAAGAGGGGACAAAGCGTGAACTGTGCGTTACCTGTGACAAAGTTCTCAAGAAACTTAGATTGGTACAAATCGTAGTAAATGACATTCATCTTGAAACCCTCCACCTGCAGCCAGACCCAATGACCAAGACATGTCAAGGCGAGCACTGAGTTTCTCAACCGTAGAAAGGGGTAAAAACCCAACCTTGGGTTTCCATCAACCGTTGTGAAATTGAACTTAGCTGGGGTCTAACTGATTTAGGATACAACCGCATATCGCAAATCACTATCAGGCACATTTCAAGCTTCATCTCAACGTAGGACGTACCATCATCCGTGCGTAGGCTGATCCAATGCGTCCAGCACCGATGATACCAACAGTTTGCCCCTTCAGCAAATTACCAACAAATCTGCACGAAACGCACAATGAAGTCGCAGCATCCATGTCATTGAAATATGATTATCAAACAAAAGGCGAGAGATATCGTGGGAGGCCGTCAACACAACATACGGTACTCATGATGAACACCAAGAAACAAAAAAGATCGTCTCTTAAGCTTGAAGAAGTGAACTTACAAGTTAGGAAGCCATCCATCGTATTTGCCAGCACGCATGAAGTCATCAGCTTCGACGACCCTTCGGGCTGCAGAAAGAGTCAACGCTGCAGCCAGCTCTGCTGTTGTCTCAGTCAAGACACCCTACAAATGTCCAGCGAACCACATTACAGGAGTAAACCACATAATCCCCAATTCCTACTACGGCAATGAATTGAAGAGCTCTTCCATGTACCCTAAGGTTACAACTGTCGACAGTCATCTCTATCCTTTGTGACGTCTCCGATTCCGCCTCTTTCAACGCAGACTTGTGCAGAACCGCATTTAACGGCGAAATTGAACTTCCAGCAGGACGAAAACTTTCGGCCCAGCTGGGAACATGTGAAAGGCACTTGGTAACCTACTGTTTGTACGGGAACGAGGTTGAAGGCAACATCGTAAATAAAGAACATGATGCTAAAGTCACAAAGAAACTTCGTCAGTGTTCTGATCTTAAGCAGTGACTGTTAAGAGTGACTTACAGGAGTGTTGCCAACAGCTATGCCATGCTTATTGGCAGCTTCCACGTCCACATTATTGTAACCGACAGCCATATTACTGAAAGCATGACCCCCTGCCTTCTTCAGGGCCGAAAATAATGTCTCACCCCATTCTTCAGTCAACTGTGGGAGTGTGCAACGAGATTTAATCAATACATTCAAAGAGCGAAAGAAGTAAAAAATAAATCGAAAACATACCCTTCATTTGACCCCGATATACGGATCTTACCTGTCCGATGACACCATCACACCTGGAGCCAATCAGAGAAAGGATGTCTTCGACACTCAAGATTGTCTTCTGCGATGTGCAAACCTGCGGAACAAATGGAACCATTCATCTCAGTACCGACTCGTTGATGTGTGACCGCAACTAATAAATACTCACTCTGTTTCTCCAGTCCGAGGAATACAAACTGGGCGTCGAGCGAGAAACATGTCTTGTGCTTCAACCTTCGGCATTGAGACCTGATTGCGCTTGGCGCGATCAGTAATTACAACTTCCCTCGGGAAATAGCTCATGACCGTTTTTGTGGGAACAGTTTAAGTTGAATGCTCCTACAGGAGTCAAAATTGGGCACTACAATGTTTACTGGGAGAAAGCTGCCTATGGAAGCTGCCTGCCACAATGCTGGTCACCGACTGTGTGTGAGAAGCGGTCCGAGTGTGAGTAACAAGACTTAATTTTGAGTCGACCACCGCCGATGGTAAGGTCTGAATTGCTGTATGCCTTCTCTAGGCTACCTCAGCGGAGACACGCTGCAAGTTAAGTTGAAAGTACCAATGGCCTGAAGACTACGCTGTCAAGCACTTCTCCACAATTGGAAGATTTGGTCGTGTTTTGGGCCAGGAGCGGATAAGTACAGCTCGTCTTGACATTGAGTGCAGCAAATTTGATTACATACATATCTGAAACGCTACTGGTGGTACCATCAGCAAGAGCTTAACGAGGGAGATACCGCCTCGGCTGACCAACACTGCAGTATGTAGTGAGACGTAAACAGTTGAACCTTTTGCTTCGTCAGGCACAGGCAGTTTGAAAGATCGCAAGTACCTCATAGAATCACACTTTGCACAAGACTGGAATGCAAATCTATCAAAATTCAGGCCCCGAAGAAATTGAGCTACATTGCTCACGAAAAGACTGACGAGCAAGTCACAAAAGGGGTCAGAGAGACCGACAGCGACAGAGAGAAATTCGGGATATTCGAGACGGTCGATGTCATAAAGGCTAGGACCACAAATCTCCCGAATTCAAATGCACGAGAAGATCATCGCGTCCCCCGGACGTCTTCAGCTCCCCCTCATCGTCACGTGGACGTGGGAAGCAAACACAACGAGCATTCCGACCAGGCTGATGGCAAACCAGAAACCGCGAGTACAAATTGAATCTCACCTCGACGCGACAGCCGGCGTTCACAAGAGCTTGAATCCACTGATTCCCGGGCATGGGCTTGGTGCTGACGACGCGGAACTTCCCTCCGGCGTTGAACACCTGCACAGAGTAGGCAGCCATCTCGTCGGCGGAGGGTCGCGCTGTCCGGAGGACTTGGACTGGGCGAAGCGAGCTGCACTGCAATTCAATGCAGAATTCACTTTCGCTGCAGCACTGAAGCTCTCTTCGCTTCGCTGCGCTACACTTCAACTGCACACTGTCCACACTCCGGACTCTAGAAGAGAAGCGATCGACATTTTCCGTCCACTTACTTCGAGAATTCTTGTCGTTCACAAGTCATAGATATGTGAAAATCGCGTCGCGCTTCCACGTACAACGATCCGGGAGATCGAGAGCAGAACCGGGGGTTTTGCATCCAACCGCTGGATCCGCCGGACGAGCAGAACGACCCAAAAGTTCGTGGGATCCTCCAACGGCTGGCGTGTCTGTGGCCCGATGGTCTCGTGGGCCCACCGGTCATGGCAAGCATGAACCCGCAGTGGAGATCATGTATCCGAGCTTCTCAGCTCCGAAGGACCATCAGTTCCGACTACTTCTCCCGACTTCCCTTTATCCCGTATCATTGGACGTGAAGGCTTGCGGTGGTGGGCCCGCCTTCCGCTTCATGCATGCATGTTCTTCCATTTCTTTCTCGATTCGTCTCCTCATTTTCTCTTCTGCCTCGCTCTGTGGCTACAAACAAACCTCTCCCCGAACGCTTCCGCACATCATTTTTCAGCTCAGAATCGATCATACTCCCACTGGCTTCAGAGTTCCAGAACTACATTTTCGTGTGTTTTACTCTTTCACCACCATACCTCTTTTCACTTTCATCTATTTTTCGGACTGTATGATTATGATCATTTCAAGGTTTCTTTTCACTCTGTATTTTTTTCATTTCTGCTTTCATTGCGTGTTTTTTAATTTTCTCGAAAGCTCCCCATATGTGGCTTTCTTTATGTGAAACCCTGTTATGTAAATATATGAGTTATGGGCAAGGGATTTCAATGGTTCACGTTTAACGACGTGAGAAATAACGACTTATGTGTGTGCTGGGTGATCCCCGAACACCCAAAAACAAATAAAAAAACTAACAAAATTTTTTATCCTGATTTCAATCTATTACCTTCAGATTTATGTCTTATTTTGGAGTTTTGAACAACCGTGATCTATGAAATAAGGAAATATTTGCTTTACCACTTCCACCAAAATCTATCTACAATCATTCATAAAACATACATTCGAACATGACTTTATATTTTATTAAAATATAAGTGTTTTCTTCCTTTTACAATATTTATTCAAATATCAGTTTTTGAAGCATACTATGTTCTAGTCACAAACCACTTTCCGAAAGAACAATTAATTTTATTTATAAGTAATATAACTTATTATATTATATAATAAAACATAAATGATTCAAATTTTAATATCAACAAAAAGTATTGAGTGATAAAGAATAAAGAAGATATTTTGGTATAAACATTATTTATCTATAGTTTAACTTGCATTTTTGTAAGTTTGAAATTTGAAATGATTGCATATAAAATAATATACTATCATGTTACAACTTTAATATCTTGGATCACTCACTTACATGTTAAAATAATTTCAATATTTTATGCATAAAATCAAAAATAAAATTTATTTTCTGTTTTTATGATCAATATTATGAAGGTAGGGGTGATATTTTTTGTAAGAATTATAATTTCTTAATTTGATTTTTATTTGAAAGAATGAATCATTCTCATTTTTGCATTTAAATTTTAATTATAGAGTGATATAAGATAGAATATACAAATCATATTTCTCAAAAACATTTAAGACTACCGAAAAGTAAAGTTATAATACTTCTATCTTGTTATGTGCTATAGTGTTTTCTATGCTTAACATCACTGCTCATTACTTGCACTTTTGTTAGATGACATCAGAATTATAAGAAACATTTATCTATTCGTTCCCTGTACCCACTTTAAAAGCTGCAAGGGTCTAAATTCACACCGAGTTCAATCTAATTAAATGCTCAATCATTTTTAATTTCACAATACAAGATAAAAAAGATACTTATTTTAGAACTAAGTCAATCCCAAATTTTCAAACGTTCAAAGAATATGGTTGATTTTACGTCGTAAAAATAAATTAAAAATTGAATGCAAATTTATAAATATACCTTCTTAATAAATAAATAATAAAAATTTGAGATTTTTCTGTATGTATTTACTTCTTGATTTTCTTTACTACATAATCGCCATATAGCAAAACACGTTTCACCATTTACAATAAACATACAAGAGTTTTATAACGGCTAATGTATGGATGATAGATTATTATTTTAAATAACATATCAAAAAATCAATGTAAAAAATAATTATAATTATAATTATAATAATTAATTTAAAAAATACTTGCAAATTACATTAGTATTGTTTTTAAAAACTATAATTTGATGAATAAATGATCAAATATATAAAAATAGATACAAATTGAATCATCCATGAAAAAAAAGTGACTTCTTTGTGGAAAAAATTTAATTAAATATTTTTTCAAGTTTAATCATGTTATCAACTAAAAAATGTCAGTTGGTCAATATTACCTTTTTGAAACATATGAATTTAAATTAAAATGTACAAAAAAGAGCCCTTGCTTTTTCATATCGCTTAAATGTTATTGAGAAATAAAAAAAATCCAACAAAATTTACAATTTTTTATTTGAGTCTTAACTTCAAAAAGTATGTTCTTGGAATGGAATGGCATGAAATAAAAAGCAGGCACATGCATTCATTTAAAAACAACCATTATTTCTGTTTGAATATCAATACTTCAATTTGATTTTATGCATGCACTTTAGGTTTTGATGCATGCATGAATGGTCTTGTTGAGATACGAGTTTTTCCATTTCCCATTGTTGCTGTATAACATAATTATATAATAATGATACAATTAAAAAAATTAGAAAAATACTGATGTTTAGAATAAGTGATGTAACAAATGTTATACGGGGCTCTATTTATGACTTTTCAGGGTTCCTGTATGTACAAAATATAAGGGAATTGCTGTCTTAGACTAGTAAAGTGTTAGTTTCCTGTCCATGGGTTCTCGTCTGCATCCAAGCCTCTGAGTCACTCTAAACCTCATGTATAATCAGAAGACCCACCTTTTAGTTTCCTCATTGTCAAATCGTGTGTCGTGCCTTTCCTTTCCTTTTTGAGTAATTGTTCAGCAGCTGAGTTTGTCAGTGCTTTTTGATTGATGACCGGAATGTAAACTTGCGGTGTATATTCATAACGGTGCTCAATTGAAGTGACAAAAGAAGTTGTTTACCTGAAGAGGAGGTGATGAAGTACAGGCTGATGTCGTTCATCTCTGATAATCCAAAAGAATGTGCACTTTCTGATGGGTTGCAGAACTTAATCCAACTTACTTGTACGTCCAACAAGTTGTAGCAGAAGTAGAAAAGCAGTGTACAAGACTAATTCCTACCGAATGCAAGTGCGATAAGCTATTTGTAAGCTCTGTTTTGATTCCCTTTTAGAATTCTTGTAAACCACTGTTAAGTTGCACCTAATGTAGGTCTGTCTTGTCACTCTATGTGTGTTCAGAAATACGTGATAGCAGGAGCATTGAACTTTGCCCTTGAAAATCAGCAAGTGAACTGCAGATACGGTTGCAGCGTCGTTTTCGTAGATCGTTGATGAGGATTCTAAGTTGACGTGGCCTTTCTATTGGGCAGTCTGGACCACATTGGGCATCCCAGACTCATACTCAAGCTGCAATATCAAGTGTTTGGAAGAATCCTCATACCTCTGTATCTCAGGCATGTGCTTACTCCTGACAGACAGAGAGAAGGTTCATGTGCCGTGTTCATCCATACGTCTAGGATCGGTCACCGTGCCTGCCTTTTACATTCTGGTCTGTTACTATCTTCAGTCATGTTGATGTTTTTGACATGCTCATTAGCTCCTTGTTTTCGTATGCACCAGATTCTTTGCTGCTGAATGTAGATTAATACTGTTTTCCATCAAAATCTTAATATTATATATAAATAATATTTATATATTATTAAATATGGTTAATGTAATAAATAGGTAATACTTTTGTCATGTACAACATAGTGAGAGTAATTTTCAATGTTTCATATGTATACAATATTGAAATAAAATTTATAGCTTGAATACATGAAGAATAGAGATGTGGAAAAGATGAAAAAATCATATGTTTTTGAAAATATATGTTTAATATATAATTGATATAAAATCTGTTCAAATATATTTTGTAATATTAAGTAAAAAAATATGTTAAATTTAAACATATGCTTGTTTTTGTCCAATTCAAATACTAATGTTATCTTGCTTAAAATACATCACCTTTAGATGATTTTTTTATTCATTAATTTTTTTCAAAAAACTCATTATCACGGGAAATTGTTTCCAAATATTTAATGATTTCATTTTAGGTGTACTTCTTGCTCTTTTTTGTACAAATATAACTGAGAAATGTCAATTTTTTTGCAAGTACATGTTTTATGATCGAGTGTTTTCAACTTGCCAAATTTTTCAACTATATTAAAATTGATCTAAGATGTATCAAATATATTGAACACCAATGATGTAGATTCTTTTCATCAATTTGCGATGTCATAATTACAGAAAGTAGTTCTCAAATTTTGTAGCTATATCTGTATATATGTATATATATGTATTTCTTTCAAATACAATTGTATTCTTGAAATTAAGTTACTGCCGTGTCTATATTATGTGTGATTATTATGTAAATATTTAAATGAATTAATTAATTCAAATGAATTGTTTCCTATAAACTATCATTTTATTTATTTCTGCATATTAATTTTAAATTAAATTTGAGATGTTATTTTACATGTAATACTTATAAAAGTAATTGAAAATAACAAGTATGCTCAGTGATTTCAATATTTACATGTAATTACCTACCACTTTTCTAGCTTTCTTGTGATATCATATTATTTGTATAAAAACGATGCAATTCAAAAATTGTTTTCAATCTTAATACATTTTTATTAAGTCCAGTTTGTAAAATATTGTTGTGGAATTATTATAATATTCAAGTTTTTTTAAGAAATTTAATAATATTTCATCTCTTTTATGACATCATGTTGCACTGAATGCCACACAGTTTATTTATTGTTGTGTATTTCTTTTGCATGTGAGTATACACAATCATTGTGTAAATTAACCTCATTAAGTTCTATTCGATAAAGAATAACAAATGTGACAATAGTAAAAGTAAATTAGAGTGTGTGTCTCTTCTGACATAAATCAATGTGTATGAAGTTTATTTATGAACATTGTAATACATGATGAAGTGCATTGCTCTGTACATAAAATTTAAAATTGATTTTTGACAAATTGATAAAAATATGGAAATTACATGTTTATAATAAACAACCCACCTTGTCGCTTCATTCATTTTGTGTTGAAGATATCCATTATTTTATTTTCTTTACATGTAAATTTACACAGTGTTTGTGTGATCGCCTTCTTAACGTTATAATGTATAAAAAAGTGAGAAACAATCTCCAAGATTTATGTTTATTGACGTTGATGATTATTAGCACATGAGAATATCGATCTAAAACATGTTTAAAGGATTATCAAATATCAGTAAAAAGCAGATGATAATTAAATACTTGTTCCAGATTATTACTGACAAATTGTGTTCATAAATGAGTTAAAGAGTTATTTAAAAATATATATTTTTAAACATAAATTTTTCTATTAAGAAGAAAATATGTACTCTCACAACCTGAATGACACGCATGATATGTAGATAATGACACACATGAAATGTAGAAAAAACGCATCACTGGTACCAGATCTTGAACATTTAGATCTAGAGACCAAAGGTGGAAGTACCATTTGAAGATTTTTCGTTTCAAGTTCCGTCATATGATGGTTTGAGATTCATAAGCCTGGCCCGTATACAATGATTGGTGTATACGAAACATAATGGTCAGAGAGTACGTAATAGGGTTTGAGGCCCTATTTGGGTACGCTGGGCTTAATCTGGATTTAAGCATTTCGCCTTTACAAAAGGCCTGACTTTTCCGGACCGGATCAATTTGAGTTCTTAATCGTCCTCCGTCGTTTAGTCTGTCCTACCGTCTACCACCGACTCCTTGAGGCATCGCTTTCGCTACGCTAATCTCAGACGTAGTCTGGAGTTTTCTGATCCAGCTTTGTGGGACTAGTTCGGATGGGCAGGGGGGATAGTTGTAGCGAAGAAGACGCGTTCTGAGAGTGCATAGACGGTGAACTCGAGAAGGTGACATAGACGGAAAGGTGAAGCAGAGCAGACTACAGGAAGAAGCAATATAAGCGGAGAGGTAAATGCACGAGGCGTCGGATTGCGGAGGTGGAAAATTTCTGGGCACTTTTTGTGGTAGATCGCTCAGATTGAGGATGTTATGGAGGTCGAGGATGTCATTTCGACTGGAATCGCCGAGGTTTAGAACTGTGTGTTCGGAAGCTTGAGGGATAAAGCAGATTGCAGTTTTCGTAGTCTGTAGTTGGGGGCACGGAAGCTCAAGTGCCCTCACATTGCCCGCGTGGAGAGCGTTTGAACTCGGAAACCTAAGGAGGAGCTGTGGCCTTTTTTGCAATTGACGCGAGGCAATAATTTTGGTTTTGCCGGCGTTGGGTCCTCGTTGTTTTTGTGCAGGTCTGTGCTGTTGGTTGAACCCTTCTGAGTTGCGCGAGGCGGGAGAGCCCATTGGCAGTGCTCTTTATCCAAATTCCAATTTTTCATCTACCGAAGAACGACAAGTACTGCACACCATTCGATGAGATATTTTCCACCTTGAATGCTTGGTTAGATGCGGGCGTGGTGTCTTTCCGAGAGTAGAGGCGAGACTAAACGGTTAACAGAGGATCAGGTGATCGATAGTCCGGAGTTGTCAGGAGGGCAGCCATGAGCCCTGTTGATGTCGGGCATACACGTTCGAAGGGCCGAAAGCAGCGGCAGAATGGTGCTTCCGATGTTTACGGTCAAATTTTAAGGTGTGAACAACAATTTTAAGCTGCCGTACCACCTGAGGAATCTCGCAAATTGCATTCAGAGTGTAGAATATGGGAAAATTGTGTCATTTGCGTTGGAAATTCGTGGCGATGAGAGTTAAATGCTTGTAAAGTAAGTGACCTTGGAAGATTGCCACTGTAACCAAAATGCCGAACTTTCACAGCTGCATCATTCATTCCATCCGAAGTTACACTCGTTAGCTGATAAAACTTCATGGGAAGAAGGCCTTTGTATGTTCCATCAATTACGCTTTCTTTTGGAACGAGCATGACTGAAGGTGTTTACTGTTCTTGTAAATAGTCCTACATGGCTTTCTGAGACAGAAACCATTTCCCCTTTAATTGACAATCTCCTATGTTATGTGGAGTTCTTGGTCGGGCTTTTTTGGAATATTTTGGGATGACATTTGTTTCAGTAACGTTTTTCCTATTTCTAACGGGGAATCACAAGTCGAAGTCATCATTTGTGCTACATTATCAAGCTCCACGCAGCTCACATGCGAAGAATCCATAGCGAGTTTTACTAAATTTTGTTCAGTTCGGAGGACGTAGCGTGTTTTTTTCGAAGCCAGGGTTCGTAAATTTTCTGGGCTTTCTCTGTTTCAAAAGAAGAGTCGTACTACGTTTCAATGATCTCAGTTTTTAGTCTTTCGACTTTGGAGAAACGGATAATAAAGAACAACTCTGTTTATTTAGGCTTCTGATTTTCATCTCCAGTAGAGATCGCAGTCAGCTGGTATTCTTGGGTAGGCATTGACAGTATTCATACAAGTACGTAACGTATTTTCATGACTCCTTTCTATCTCGCAGTTCTTATCTTGATTTGTGATTGTTTGAGTTTGAGTAGCCTACACTACAGTGGTTATCGGGTTGTAAAGAAGTGAAGTACCAGGTGGTGTATCATCTCGGGTGATCTTGTCCACTGTCAAAGAAAGCATCAGGAGTGTTGGTTGGAGTATTTTTCTAGGCAGCCATGTTCAAATAGGGTTCTTTTGAGTAAAAATGTTTTTGTGTGTGTGTGTAATATGAAACTTTCGTCTATTTTTTCTTACGTTATAGTGTGCTGTGCAAGGCAGGCGCATCAACTCAACTCAGCGTATCGACAAAAATGACATCAATCAGTTGTATCATCTGGACAAACCACTGTGTCAAGGGTGCAGAGGAAATTCCAAGGATTCTCCAAACTGTTTCTGTGGTCTGGTTCCACCTCTTAATGGTTCTCGCAAACAAGGGTTATGGCAGAAATTGTCAGACACCCTGGACGAACTCGGTCCAGACCCTTCTGAGTCTCTCCGGGCCTCTGAACACTCTCCCTCTGGATTGACAAATCTCGGCGCAACTTGCTATGTGAACAGTGTTCTTCAGTGTCTTTACATGAACACTTCTTTCCGCAAGGGTGTGTTTGCTGCGGACGAGGACCTCGTCAGGAAACAACCTATTCTTCATGAACTCAGTCGTCTGTTTGCGCAATTGCATTCCGGGATAAAAGTTGCTGTTGACTCAGCTCCTTTTGCTAATACATTGGAGTTAGACAATGCGGTACAGCAAGACGGACAAGAATTCTTGAAATTGTTGCTGGCGTTGCTAGAAAGAGTGCTTGGGCTGTCAAGAAACCCCACAGCTCGTAATGTGGTCCAGAACGTGTTCCGTGGAACCTTTTCTTACGTTACAAAGTGAGTTCATTTTTCTGGTCGTTTGCAGCCAGTGTGTTCTCCTTGTTGTTGTTCTTTTTACGGAGTCGTTTGAAGGTGTTCAGTCTAACTTAATGAATACGTTCTCGTACTTTTGAAGATGCTGCAAATGCGGTCAAGAATCAGAGGCATCCAAGGATGCTGTCGATTTTTACGAACTCGAGTTAAATGTGAAGGGCTTTTCAAGTCTGGATGAGAGTCTCAATGATTACCTCAATGAAGAGAATCTGCAAGGAGAGAACCAGTACATGTGTGAGTCTTGTAAGACTCGTGTTGATGCGACACACAGCACAAAGCTGCGCTCTCTTCCCCCAGTTCTAAACTTTCAACTCAAACGATTTGTCTTTAACGCTAAGGTAACGTCCTTTCGCAATCTTTACCCTTAGTTAATGGAAGGGGTGTGCTCGCTGCTTCGGGCAGGCCATGCTGTAATTGATTTTTGCTCCAGTAATCATCTACACGTTTTTTCACATAATTGTACATATGTTAGTCGGCAGGGTGTACATAAGCGTTCTGGCTAGGTCCGCTAGAACGTTGATTACAAGAAGCTTTGATTATCTGACAATCTGCGGTCCATGGGTGTTGGACAATGAGGCTAAGAAACATAAGTAGGAAAATTTTTGTATTTCTACTTTCTCAAAGATCCTGTGTGGAGATTGCCGACCTCAAGGTGTATAGACTTCATGCCGAAAGGCTGGTTAGAGTCTCACATTTAAGAAGGTTACGTCTCCTTTTTGGTCACCAATTAACGGACGAAAGTTGTAGTCTTTGCATTTCTCTTTCGTGCGATCAAAATTGTAATAATTGTATTCACGACAAGTTGCAGACAGTCAATAGCTTGTACATTATCAGCGCTGTCGGACTCGTTAGCCTAAACTCGGAATTCGTTTGTCTTATTGGTGGTTCAGGATTTGCTTCTTTCATGCTTGAGGCTTACACGTTGTCTGACACTTTCTTTCCTGCCTTTCTCAGACAGCCACGAAGAAAAAGGTCACCTCCAAGTTCAGTTTCCCCAGAAGCCTGGATATGGGTCCACGCCTCAGTGCGCAATCAGCGGATAGGAGTGCTGATGCAGCTCATTCAGCAGTCTATGATCTTTCCGCAATATTAGTGCATAAGGGAAGTATGGTCAACAGTGGGCATTATGTAGCTCATATAAAAGACGAAGAAACAGGGGAATGGTGGCAATTTGATGATGAAAAAGTCTCGAGTTTGGGTTACCATCCCCTTGGAGAGGCCTCTGGTGCAGTTTCCAGTAAGGAAACAAGTCCTGGTGATGCCGAGCAGCTGTCAAGACAAGTAGACACTAGCAGGGAAGGTTCTGGGGAGGAGCAAGTGCCGTTTTTTCTAGGTGCTGAGCCTTCTCCTATAGCAGAGACTTCTAAATCGTCGGTGTTAAATGATTTGGACGTGCTAACCTCAGCTGATGCCTACATGCTCATGTATAAGCGCAGGGAGCAGCAAGTAGGCCAGTGGGATAATGTCAACTCGTCAGATTCACGATCTGTGCAGTCCTCAAGTAGTGACTTGGATAGAAGATCAACTCCTGTTCCAGAATTCACACTTCCTGATCAATTTAGAATAGAAGTGGAAGATATGAACCTTGAGTTCAAGAACATGTGTTGGGAATATATTCAGCGCAAGGAGAAGGAGGTGTCCAAGATAACAGAACGAAGAGCGGAGGTGCGGAAAGTGCTCGCGGAAGCTCCTGTGAAAAGGCTGGAAGATCCCTTTTTCTGGATTTCAATTGACTGGTTACGGTCCTGGGCAGATACCGTGGACCAACCGTGAGTTCCCTCCCTTTCACGCTTTTGCCATTGTTAGCTGTGGAATAATCAAGTGCTTAGATAGTCCCTACATATCGCAAAAGCAAGGCGTTCCACTGTTTTACAGAGCATTTTGTTCTGATTTACACTTCGAAGGGATGATAAGAAACAACGTCTTTGAGGTTCATCGTATGGTCTTAGTATTCGACACTGAACACGGGCATTGTTTCTTATGGTTGTATTCCTGTACCAATCATACGTAATCATTGTGTAGGGTCGGGTCCGGTCGTGATCACGGGCAAGAGACATGCTGAAGACATCGTCTCTTGTATGACTTGAAACTTAGTGCAACCTTTATATTTAGCTTTGGACTGCAACATCCGAATGCAGATCGAGATTAGCTAATTGCAGACAACTCATCAAGAATTGTCCAAAAGTTCTTGCAGTTTGATATTTTAGAAAATCCTTCGCTACAAATTCAACGAAGGCACAAGCTTTAATATACCATTCCAAGATAATATCTCTTAGGTCACTATCTGTGACGTAGAACCACACGGTTGTAAGTAAAGAAAAAACGGGGAGTCATGGACCCAGCACAGGGCGTAATACAGGTCGAAAAAGATATACTTCTGTAGTACTGGATGATACCGGGATGCATGTATGTAGATTTTGCTTCTTGCGAGCAATCCATTTTACCATATTATGAGGTACTTATAAATTGTTCTTTTGTCTGACTTAGGTCTGCTATACATAACAGCTTACTGTTGTGTCAACATCAAAAAGTTTCTCCACGAAAAATTAACCTAATGAAGCGAATATCTCAATCAGCCTGGAGTTATTTATATGCCAAGGTTGGTAGATATCTTCACTTCAAGCTATCTGCTCTGCGCTCGTTGGACCACCATGTGGTGTATGGTTTAGTTATGGAGTTGTTAATTCGCAATTAGAGTTTGTGATGCTTTGGTCTTTGTTTTCCATCTTGCGTATTGGGCTGGAAGTACCGAGCAAGAACATGTCGAAAGTGTTACTGTGTTCTTATTTGTGTGAGAAATAAGATGTCTGGTTGATTGTAGCAATTTGTTCAGGCTTCAAGGTTAAGTTTCAGTTGTGGCTGAAGGCAATGGGCATTGGAATCTATGTTATGTCACCTCACACTAACAAGATTGATTTATGTGCAGTATGGAGGAGGCCCTGTCTTGTCTGAAAATGACCACTGTGATGACTGCATCTTCGAGGATGCGAAAATTGCTGCATCAGCTGACAGTTATCGGGACCAAAGAGCTGACATGCGAGAACTTGTAGATAACGTATTAAGTGGTCGTGGTGAACATGAAGCTGTCGGGAATCAATTCTACGTTTCCAGGACCTGGTATTGATTCGCTGCACTACCAAGGAGGAGTGTAGTCTATGAACAGAGCGTTATTTTTGCGTAAATTTCAAGTACATGGTTTTGATCATTGAGCCAGACTGTTGTAAATGCTTGCCGAGTGTTAGAAGCGTTGGAGAGGGCTATATAAGAATTTGACGTTACCTTTCAAATATGTTTGTACGATAGATACCATAGATACCATTTGTACGTACGATACAATAGATGTTTGTTGATAGCTCCTACTAGCTCCTATTTTCGATTAGGACCATCATATCACCGTACAACTCGGTCGGTGGTCCAAGCTAGGGTTTCTTTCTTTGGTTTAGGATGTTCCTATATGTGTGGGGATTAATGTTAGGCGCAGGATGTAGAGGAGGTCATAAAGTTTATGGGCTTATAGTTTACGTTACCAGATATGATGAAGAAGAGAGGCTATTTGAAACTTTAGTTTCGGAAGCCATAACCGGAGTCTTGAGGAACAGAACATGGAGGAAGCAAATTGTAAGTCTGACCTCACCTCGTCCGCGATATACCGGAACCCTGAACCCTGAAGCCGTGTCCCTCAAGCAATATCTTCTGAGATTTTCGTGCCTCGGCAGATGCCTAAAGTTCAAGTACGGATAGAGTAATCTTTCTCAACCACAAAATGAGCAAGATGGGAAACCACACCTTAAGATGCAAACGGTTTTGTATAGAGGACAAAATCTCTCTCCCTACCCTGGTTATGTGTGTATATGTATATAAATAACCTACAACAGAATGAGTGCGACATCAAAGCACAACCTTGCTCAGCTGGCGGAAGCAGAAACTAATTTTGAAATTTCCAAGTTCAAAGCTGGTGATGTGTGAGTCGGAATTTTTGGATGCAACAACTTACAGTTGAATGAGTTTGTAAAAGGTTTCCTGGCTGTCACCCTGAAGAACGAACCTCACTGGTTGAAAGTCGACGAAAAGAGAGACTGTCATCACTTTTAAATAGTAGTCACGAATCCGCCTCCATCGTCATTTTATCTTGCTTGCTCTTCTTCTTCTCAGTTGTTACTATTATCCGCGCGCAGGCTGCGCGCGGGGCCCATGATCTTGTGGCCAGGAGAAGCAAATACTCATGAAATACAGTATTTTTTGGGTCCATTTAAAATATTTTACCGAGTCTTAACGAATTATGTGGAGCTGGAAGTTTTTCTTCGAAGAGTTTTGATGTTTATCCGTTTCTATTGACCTCTTTGTAAACAATCTTCTATAGCAGCCTCACTTTAGGGCACAAGGTATGTGGTCAGAACGCCATATGCGGCACACTATTGGTGCCATATCTCACAATGTGTCGTTGGAATTACAGGTTAACGCAGTGGTACCGTCGTAAAGCTGCCGATGCACCTTGCGAAGCAGATGCCGGGCCTACAGCAGGCTTGCGTTGTCCTCACGGGGGTTTACTCCCAGAGCAGGCAACTGGCGCAAAACGGCAGCTGGTGCCTGAAAGGGCTTGGGATTATTTTCGTAAAAACGCTGTTCAAGTGGAAGGAGCAGATCCTCGTGGACATTCCCCCTTCAGTGGAAATACAGATTCTTGCAAGATATGTCAGTCTGAAATAGATAAGGTCGCATCCAAGCGCGAAGGCCTAAGGTATCATCCTATGTTCAATCCTTACCTACACTTGTACTGTCAACGGTTAGAGGGATTTTAGTTGGCCCTCAGTGGCTAGTTGGGTTGAATAAATATTGTCAGTGGTCTTCTATGTTCTTTTTGTGTCCTGCCTCCGGAATGGCACGTTTCTCCTTTGCTATGGTTATTGTACGTTGCTTTTGTTCTTTTAGTTGATTTAGCTCGTGTGTTTCTAGTCATGCTAGCCTCCAGCTGAAAAAGGTCTGTGCAGGCGGCCCAGGCTTGTCCCCATGACATTCGCTGGGCCCTGCCTGGTAGCCTGCAGATGCATCTTGGTGATGCAAACTGCGGTCCTACCCCCGGCGATTACGGGCAGAAACTTATGCACCTTGGTAAACACTGATGAAACCGAAGGTTCTGTGATGGCAAGGTGATGCTTGTCATTCATCTGTGATAGTTACTGATCCACGGATTGCACCTCTCTTGGCAGCCCAAGCCGCAGGTTTTTTTTTTTTTATACAAAAAATTCAAAGTATTGATCTTGGTTTTCTTTCTCCAGTGTTCCTGACTTCTGAATGCTCGACTTATCAAACATATTAGAATGTTAAGTGCATCCCAAGTGCACATCCTAATGTGCACTTGGGATGCTTTGATATGTCAAGATCCCTTGTTGTTTGTCTTAAATTCCTTCAATTTACGGTACCAGCCTCTCTAGGTTTTCCTTATGGCATGTTGGGTATGCTCCTGTTTCATGTACATTCTAATGCATGTTAATAAGATGTTATCTCAATATATTTTTATCACCAATGTAATCTCTATCCTGAAACATTTTGTCCTCGCTATGTCAAAGTTTTCCTGGTATTTTTTCCTCGACAGATGCATGATGATTCATGAATTGAGAATATACTCGTTCTGTGTCCATGCGTGCTGTGATGGTGACTTTTCAATTGCTATCCGTTGAGTTGCTCATACGTAGTGATCCTCGTCATGGAAATACATATTTTCTGCGCCGTGGACACTTGTATTCCCTCGAGCTGTGCGAGCTTATGTTGTGGTCATACGCTGTTTCTGTGCTTGAAAATGACTTACGTTGATGCTAGATCAACGTAAGTCAACGCGCCGCATACAATGCTTAGCTGTAAATTGGTTCATGTTAATAGTTTGTATCCTTCCCTGTGTTTCCTGTAATAGTCAGAACGTAAGAGCAGTGATCGTTCGAACATTTCACTACTATAATTCTAAGCCCTGCTAGCACCGCGCAGTCGGCCGCGGTTCTATTTTCTCCAGACACAAATGCAATTCAGAATAATATTTGTCAATATTTTAGATTGGTACAGAACGGTTTCCATGGATGTCGATATTACAATAAGCTTAGATACTGACGAGGAGTGATAGAAATTCATGAAGATAAGTACTAGCTTTTCTACCCAGCCTACTTCGAGTCGGTATAGAAGCTGAACTTTATTCTGTGTTTTCTTACAGCAGTATGCTTAGTTAAGTTAGTCTGGTCCATGTAATTTTTTAGTTAGCAGTATAATGAAAATGGATTCTTCACAAGTGAAGTATGCACTTCACGAGTTCCCGCGCTCAGAGCTCAGGCATGACACAGAAATCTGATTTTGTCAATCCTGTTCAGAGCCACCAAAATCGAACAGAGGGCGAAGCATGAAGCTTTGTATGCTGGAAGAACTGTTGTGGTGTCTCCCGGAGCTGTATATTTCTTGGTCCCATCCGTCTGGCTTAATCGTTGGAGATCATATTTGGGAGCCAGTGGCAAAAACGTGTTGGCTGTCGATGAGCCAGATGGACTGGAGGGGTTCATCCTGTCTCTGCTCTGTCCAAAGGTATGGTTCTATATTTACGAGATTTTTAACTTCATCACTAAATCATCAGTTTGGCCTTCGTAAGATATGTATGACGAAGTTTAATGGTTGCACCGTTTTCTCTGCAGCACGAGGGTATGTTATTCAAGCCTCCTACACTGATCAGGACTCGACGCGGAGAGCTCATGCAAAGAACCGGGAATGTAAGTTGAGAGGAGGTTAACACTTCTTGCACATTGAGCATTCATGTCCACCTCTTTTGGAATCTCGACTAGACTTTGTCCTTTCAGCTTGTCCAATATTTCAGTTTTATATCAGCTACACGCGCTTTACTAATTAATAGCCTTGAATCAAAATGCGGGTAAACTTTTCGACTCCAGTTTCAAACGGGAAACAGTGTACTGTGTAAGCATTGTGAGAACCATTTATCGTGTCATTCGTATTGTCAACACATTTATTGACTTGCGCAGGACGACATATTCACAGTTGTCACAGAAGATGATTGGCTGGGCCTTTGCCATCAATGGGATGTAGATCCTCAGAGAGGTATCAAAGCCTGTCTTGAGATTGGGTCTGATATGAACCACAAGATAACAATGGCAGTCTCTGAAAACTACCGCGCAATCAATGATTGCAATGGAAGCAAGGGTGGACTCAGGGACATGGCTTTGGCAGACTCTGATGCGATCGGAATATTTGCTGATGATATAGACTGTAAACCTGAAGTTGTTCCTGTACTTCAAACGCAACCAGAGGTCGGTTTGGTTACGCACATGTGGCTTTGCTTAAAACAAAGAGTTTCTAAACTTTTTAACATGCAGGGGACCCACACCCATGAGTATCGTATCCTCGAATGTTCATAAGCTACAAGCTTCGAAATTTTTAGTTGAGAATTGCACCTACTTTTTGCAAGCTGGAACTAGTTGGCTAGCGTCAAGATAACATACTTTGTATCTTTGAAGGATGTTTTTATGATTGCCCTGCACGTAGAAGGGCAGGATTTATATTTGTTCTCATCTTACTGTTCATACGCTTACCACGATTCCTTTGTGTGTAACAGGTTTGTAAAGAATGTATTGAAGAAAGAGAAGTTCACGAGTTGCTAAGCAAGTTGCATTATACATGTGGGGAAATTTCTGTTGATCTTGTGCGTGGCAAAGGACCCCCTCCATCTCTCCTTGCTGCCAGTGGAGTGGTTGAATCTGAGCGCCGCACTTCAAAGCGTGCTCGTCGTGCATCTGCAACTTCAGGCGGACGGGTCTTGTTGAAAGTGTCTGGTGAAACCACGGTCTTTCAACTTAAATTGCAAATTTGGGAATCTTTGGCGGTAAGAGGTTTGAAGTGGCTTTGTTTTCGATATTCATCTGTGTGGAACTGAGTGGAATGCATCGGTGTTCGTACTTCGATCGTCTGTAAAGCATAATGACCAAAGTAGGGCCAGTATGTGTCGATCGAAACATGAGTATGCTTGTTGTTTTTTTATTACACCAAAATGGATTTGCTGCAAAGTTGTAGATGATCTACACCCAAGAATAGCAGTAACGTCATTGTGCCTGACCTGGCATGTTCCTATGCATCTAGTTACGTGGTGGACAGTGTTACTCTTTGAATGTCTAAAATTGTCAAACTAGACCTTGAATAATATTCCTTTATTGTTCGAAACAGATTATAAGAGAGAACCAAAAAGTGCACTTTGGTAAAACCGAGCTGTTGGATGATTCAGCTACATTGGCTGATCTCAACATTCTACCAGGGTCACAATTGTGGGTTATGGATACAGGACAACATGAGAACCGGGACATTGCAGGTACATAGAGTTTCTTTACTGTTAGAATGTAGGCTATGCGGACGACTTGTTTGTCTCAGGACTTATCTCGTGGTCAGAAACCTATCAACAGTAATTTTTGCTTGACCGTTAGTGTAAGTATGGTGCTAATTTATGCTGTCTTGTGCAGAAGAGTTGCCGGCTGCTGAGTTGGGCCGAGCGGAAACCGAGGAGGGTTTCAGAGGAACCCGGTTGTTGATGGGATTGCCCAGTATATTAGAGTCTCTGTCAGCCTGTATGCAACAAGTGCCTCAATCTCTGCCGAACAGGGACAGTAGTGGAGAAGAAAGAATTGCGCTTGCGAAGGACGCAGAGGCCATGAGTTCCACATTACTTGCAGATGAGTTGAAAGCCCAAGAAGATGGGGAGGGTGCTGAACAAGGTGGAGCTGTGGATGGTGCCCGCCTCTCAGAGACAGCGGATGTTATAATGAGTGAGGGAAGGGACAGTGAAGGTGATATAAATTCGACAACTATGTGCCCAAGTGATGTATGCTGTTCACTGAAGAGTTTGAGGGAGTCTGTTTATATATAAGGGATATTGCTGTCTTAGTCTAGCTGAGTGTTAGTTTCATGTTTATCGGTTCTTGTTTGCATCCAAGCCTCTGAATCACTCTAAATGTCATGTATATTCAGAAGACCCACCTTTTGCTTTCCTACTTGTCAGATTCTGTGTCGTGTATTTTCTTTCCGTTTTGAGTAATTGTCCAGCAGCTGAGACTTGTCAGCACTTGTTGATTGATGAATATAAACTTGCGGCGTATATTCATTACGGTACTCAAGTTTAGTGATAAAGAAGTTGTTTATATGAAGAGGAGGTGATGAACTACATGCTGATGCCGTTCATCTCCGATAACCCAACAGAAAGTGCACTACCTGATGGGCTGCAGAACTCAGTATTTGTACGTCCAACAAGTTGTAGCAGAAGTAGAAAAGCAGTGTACAAGACTGATTCCAACCGAGCAGAGATTGAGGGAAAGTGTATGGTGAGATATGCAGATAGTATATAGGAAGCAGAGAGTAACGAAAATGAGCAAGATGTTGCTTTTTTCCTTGTCTCTTCCTTTAATCTTGATAAGACTGTAGGTTCGTGTAGGACTCGAAGTGTATAATTCGCTTTTTTTTTTATCATACTCAGGGTTCGTGCTTCAGGAGTACTGTTAAGTTGTCTGTTTGGTCGAGTGTGTGAAGGACACTCTGTGCCGAAATGGCAGAGAAAGACGTGACTTATTTCTTCTCATGACCTTAGTACAGCTTTATCCAGACTGTGGAAATGTCTTTCTCTGATGTTCCCTATTTGATCTAGATGATCAGAGACATGCTAGATTAGTCTCGTGACTTTTTTTCCGTTATTTTTTCAAACCAACTTTAAACCTTTATTGCTCCTCATATTTTAAATTATGCTTTATGAGTACGTTCTTACTTTGGACTTATAGTTGCTTTGTTGGAAAAGTGAATATGGATATTGTCCGCTTTCTTTACATATGACAACAGGTTCCTAGGGTTTAGGCTACATGTTTAGGGTCCTTGTATATATGTACCTACCAATGAACCACCAGGAGGTGGTTCATTGGTATATATATATTGGTGCTTGTCGTTTCTCCTGCCTGTTCACTCTTCAATATGTTGTCCTCTATCAGCTTTCGTGTTTCTGTCCAGTATTTCTTTGTACTGATTTGCAATCCAGAGAAGGTGTTTTATGCTTTCGCGACCATTCTTCACCTCAACTTTGGATAGTTGGTCTTCTTAAAGTGGATACAAACCTAGCGTGACAACCTCTAGAGCCGGTTGCTCTTGTACAAGTGATTTCCTAGTGAAACTGGCGACGTCTTGGGAAGTAGCAAGAGCTGGTTGATGGATGCTTATTCTCCTACTTTGATTGTAGCCTCTGGATTACTCAACCATAGCATCGAAGCTTGCACATCCCTTCCATGGGCACGTCCATGGCTCTGTGAAGAATGTCTGTACCGATTCGTCCATGGCTCTGTGAAGAATGTTTGTACCGATTCGCTGGTCGAGACTTTGCCCAGTCCTTCTCAATGCGACTTCTCTCACTTCGACCTGGACTGCTTTGGATCGGGTCAGTTGAAGCTTGATAAAAGTAGATGTTCTTCCCTCTGGTTTTGTTTACATGTAAGATAAATTTCAATCAAGTTTGACTGTGCAGGTCAGACTTTGACTTCAGTGTACTGGCACACATCTTAAAATCATATCTTACGCCGCATATAGATACTCGATTTTGTGAAATATAAATCACACTCCGACCCAAAAATTTGGGTCGTTGTACAACAGCATCGGGCACAGCGCTACATTACGTGTGTGATGCTTCTCCCGGTGATTTGGGTCTTATCTCTGTGTAAGGTTGAGACTTGAATACTTAGCTGGTGACCTGTGTACTTGCTGTCATCCATCATGCAAGAAATGAGAACGAGGTCATCGCTATCTTCTTTGCGCTAAAGTACTGGACTCTTTCCTGTGCGTTTCAAGCTCTCAAGTTTGTCTTACCTCATCGAGAGGCGCTGTGAGACTCATCGTGAGTCAGGCTGTTGTAAGTATCCATATTGTCGATCTTGTTTTCTCATCGGACACTGACACTTTGAGACCTCTGTCCATTACTCAAAACCTAGTGGCAAAAGTGAATAATGCTCGCCGCTTTCCCACAATGGCTTTGCCTTCTCCTCAAGTTGCATATAGAAATTAGGATAACATTCCGTCCAGTCAGTGACAGTACCTTATTCTTTCCTCTCACATTATGGGAACGCCAACTCCGCTGGCAAGACAGTGCTCTGGGTAACACGGTATAGGTATTCGACATGTTCCCTCTTTTACCTTTAATGCCTGCTCTGCACAGGTTCTATGATAGCTTTTGTACAACAGGTGTTTACCTGTTGGCTTTAGTCGCGGCTTCACACATTCTCGCAGTGTCTATCGATCTCAGCATTCTCTGCTGGGATGGATAGACACGCTCTGAGAATAAATGACCCATCAACTACAAGCAACTCGTGTTCAGGCGCAATGTCATTATTTTTTCTTTTCTTCTTTTTCTAATTTATTGTTTGCACTCTTTGCTAGTAGGTGTTGTCGCCTTGGAAGAGCTAGAGTTCTTTGAACTCAAGGTCCTCACCTTGTTATCGTAGTTTCTGAAGTTTTCTGTATCTTCAGAATTTACCAGTTTTTTTCCCTCTGATGTGTAATTCTTTGTAAGAGTAGAATATGCTCTATCAGTGGGCTGACACGTGTGCCATATAAGGTAGCTGTCTTTTAGGAACGTAGACTCTGCTGCACTTCCATCCTAAGTACCATGATTAAATTGGCTTGGGATCCTGGATCAGAACTATTGGTTGTAAGTAGTTTTTTTTTCTTAGTCATTGGTTGTAATGTAATTTTTTGTCGATATCTTCGAACGTGCAATCTTACGTCTTCCTTTTTCTGATTGGTAAATTTGGGGTTTCTTGTGTTGTTTTTCAGTAGCTTGATTAATTCTAATGTGAGCTGCGTACGCTTACAATCAATTGATCTACAAGAGGGTAATATCCTTGTGTGCACATTTCCTACAAGGGGAAGATGAGGTGCTTCCTCACATTTTGAGGGCTCAGCCTGGTTGTGCACTAGGATTTACGGTTCACTGAGTGGCTGCTAGCGAAGGAGCTCTTAAGTGGAGGCATGCCCGACCTACCCTTTATAACGATTAAACGTATTGGTGATCATATTTTTGCTTCCTTTGTTAAATAGTGCCTCCACATATGTAAATGCACCGTGATTTCATGTCAAGTCAGTACCTATATGGTCAGAGGGTTAGTCAGCCGTGATCACAAAGCTTCGAGGAGCATGTGTTGAAACATGCCCCCATTGCAGTATACGCAATGAGTTTCAGTTGAAGGTTTGTAGGCTGCAGTCACATTGCTGTTGTAGTATACTGTCGTGTTTTGTTATCTCATGTTTCTCAGGCACTCGTTATTTCATTTTGTAAGGTTGACGATGCCCTTCAAGATGGAAGTACACATATATTACCGCTTTCAATCTATATGTTCATAGATGAACGAGGTTTATGTTGACCATTATGTGTGTTTATTTACGTTCTCGCCCTGGTGCTAATGTAAGCCACTTCTTTCTGTATATAAACGTTGTGGATTCGTTTATCCTGCGCAGGTGACTTGCCTGTTGTGAAGTCCAAGGGAATTACACGAGGGACGCGAGTTTTGAGGAGTGTTGAGAGAAGAAGGGCTTCTCCATCAGTAACTTCCAGGAATGGTGTAGACCCTCCAGTATGTCGAACCTTGGCTGAGCAGAGGAGTTCCTCAGTCTCAAATGTAAATACTAAGACCACAGGTGTGAGAGAACCTACAAGTTGTATATCTGCCAAGGATAAGCCTTTTTTATCAGAGGATGACATAGATGTTAAATGCGTGTGTGTTGCGGAGGCCTCCACTCCAAGTGTTCTTCTGCAGCTGCAGCAAACTTATGATATTGAAATGGAAGAAAGATCTGAAGATGGGGACCGTAGACCTACTCAAAAGGATAACCCTCAGGAAGTTTTTTGAACCCCGAGAAGACGTGAGATAGTTCTCTAGTTTGGGCACGGTAGGAATCCCTAGTCCAGTTCATAATTCTATCACATTTACGATGTGAGCTTGTAGAGTCGACCAACCGAAAGGTGGGCTTAACTTGTTCAGCTTCACCTATCACTTGTAACTTACTCGAGGCTAAAATTTTGAAAAGGAATTATCAAATGGTTTTATATAAGAGGTTTTACGCCCTTTCGGATAATTTCATTTGTGTCCACGATATTACATCAGTAATTGTGCAAATACTGGACAACTTTGATTAGAACACACTTCTCAAACGAGGGTGCCAGTGAATAAGCTAACTATAAGCTCTTCTCTTAAAACTCAAGTCTACTAAGCAACTTGTTCGGTTGTCCACAACATGTCACACTAACTACTGCTGGATTCTTGGACATACCCAGCAATGGAACACTTCCGTGACGGACAATCTTTGAGAGGTTTGTTACTGAGATTTACTGAAAATGTCGACTCACATTTGGAGGAAAGAGGAGTCTCGAAGTACTAGTGCCATACGTATGCTAGCATGTCCCAAGAACTACGTAGGGAGTGTGAGAATGGTAGCGAAGCGAGAAGACTAATTCTCAGAATGCGGTTTTTCTTAACAGCCGAAAGTCACATTAGATTAGGACGATAAATCTGTAGCTGCTCCTGTACTACGATTTAGTCTAGTTATGGCTCGTCAAAATTTCTTCCATGTGATATTTTAATGAAGATATTGTAATATAAAAATCATGAAGTACTTCATGAACGCGAGTATTTCTTCCATGTGATATTTTAATGAAGATATTGTAATTTAAAACTCATGAAGTACTTCATGAACGCGAGTATTCCTGTGGACAGGTTGAAGGTAAGCAGGTAGTTTGATAAAAGGCAAACTACCTTTTATCTATTTCTAATCCAGAACCATCTGAGGTCAAAGGACAGGTACTAGACATAGGAACTTGGTTATAGTTCTGAACATCAATTCAACCAACCCAAGGGTTTAACATTTTGTGGGTATAACTTTTAACATCATATGTTGATAATTGCACACTCTCCTACATTTTGAGATTGAGAGTCCAAAATAAAACTTTATAGGGAGTATAAACCGTGATGAGATGAAGAGTAATATATTTTCTTTGTAATAATTTTGAAACTAATCAAAATTATATTCTTGCTATTATTCGTATGTACATATCTCACTTTGTATTCAATTTTAATTTCAACTTGGGTTTTGACTAAGAAAATAAATCTACACAAATATTGATTACATATCAAATAATATACATAATATAACTTCTCATAGAATGATAACTTTGGAAAGTTACCCATGCGTCATTTGTGAATATTCGATTAACTGCTCGGAATCGTGAGTTACAACACTACAAGATTTTAGATGATGTTTGCATGTAGCATAATGTGCATAAAATTCTGAGTTAATATTAACTAACCCGATAACAATCTTTTATTGTCAAGGGGTGTCAAGTACATATTACTTATGGTTCCTTGTCTAGAATAGGGCTTTGATCGGGTTTGTCTTCAACCCGACTTGAAAAACCAGGTCGGATTCGGATCGATTTGGGTAGAATCCAAAAAAAATTGTGGACAAAAACGAGTTTTGCGATTTATTAATTGTAAATCATTTCAAAACAAGTTTTTCAAACATCTTTTTACGTAAAGTCGCGGAAGCTAGAAAATGCCGTCGCATAACAATCACATCGCGCCCGCAATTGAAAATACACTCAATGGCTACTAAATAACATGGTATAGAAAGAGAATACTTTGCAATTACACTGATAAGGAGAAATTGATTTTCATGAATTTTCCAGTATTCGAGCAAATCGACGGTAAGATCTTGAAATTGTAAGAAAGTATATGTTGAACTCATCTTTTTTTTCATTATCCTCATTGCAATGAGTAAACATGCCCAAAAATACAGTTGACTGTTGGGATTTATGTGAGACTATCATTTGGACGGAATTGATCTCATCTACGCCACAAAACATTTTCATCTCATTCACCAACTTTTTCAACATATTGATAGTAGCAATGATCAATTCTGAACAAATAGTACTTGAAAAAAACTTGGAAAATAGACAAAGAGTCTTTCATTGGTTACAGATTTTCAAGAATAGCCACATGTAATTCAATATATGAGAATAATTCAGCAAACACAAGCATTACAAAGGAGAACGTTGGGTACTTTTCCCTTGACATTAATCTTGATGCATCTTCAAACTTTTTCAGTTGATCATTGATGTTTTTAAACTTTCGTTATTTATCATCACTAAATTGCAACTGATCTAACTTGATGCTTCTGATTTGAGAATCGATACGGAGCTAGTTTTTGAGGTCGTTTTGAACTTTAACAGCTATTTCAACCATGTAATATGTTGATTTCCAATGGGCTGAGACATTTAAGATCAGCATCAGATTTTCACAATTTGCAAGATTTCACTGCTCATGAAATTGGTTTATTTGCTAAGGATTTGAGCGTAACTTTTTCAATATAAAATGTAGACTTTGGAGAAGGTTAGAGGCTTTATTGGTTAGAATTTTGTTGTAGATTAGAGTATCTTAGATTTTTTCCAAAGATTTCAAAAACGCTTTCTCTAAAAAATTGATAATGTGTTGCACACATTGGATACTTAAATCATCTACATTCCGAGTCTTAGATATTCCTTCGCGAATGCAATAATCATGAATATAGTATTGCAGAGTTGACATTAGAGTGTCGTTGTTTGAGGCATTGAAACATCCAACACGTTCAAAAAATTCAAATTTCTTCAATGTTTGATGTACGATTTTTGTTAGTTCTTATCCCACTGTGATGAATCGTGTTTGTAAAAGCCAGAAGCTTTTCATGAAGAAACTAGTTATAACATAGTAAAACCGGATGTTATATGTGTGAAATGAAACTAGAAGTGGCCAAAAGTTAATCATGATTAGATTAGTTGTGACTTAATTTAGCTTGTTATGACTAAGTCTAGCTAGTTATAATTAAGTTTATCAAGTTGTAACTATTTTTAGTTATGATGTCTATATTTAGAAAAATAACTAGAGAATTTCTAGAATATTTGAGTGAGGATTTTTATTTGTCTTGTACAAAAATCTATATTCCAAGAGAAAATACTTTTGACTTCATGTTTAGTTTTGATTGGTTAGACTAAGTTATGAGTATTTTGTTGGCAATATTAAATCTAATGTTGAATTAGTGTCAAGTGGAGGTTCTAGAAGTTATAAAGTCACAAATGGCGTGTCGCCACCTCAATCTAGGGATTAATAAACATCTAGAAGGTTTAGAAGTCAAATCTCTTGTTGCTACGTATTAACAACTTGTCAAACTTGATGTGGTTTATCTTTGTAAAAGTAAGTTAGATAAAAATTAAGATTTGCTACTATGATAATTTTTTAAGTAGTATATATAGAGAGGTAGGGAAATACTGTAAAAGAAGTTTGGAGACTTTATGTGTACAAACTTGTTTCATATATGAAAGAGTGATGTTTTTCAACATCTTGAAAAGTTGATGTGTGTGTGAATTTGAGTAATGAATTGGATTAATGTGTGAGAGGTGTTTGGTACATGATCATGAGGTATAATCCTAGTCTTCTAGAACCATGATGAACTACTGCAAAGTCATCTAAGATAAACTTTAGGAAGAGTCAGACGAGAAGTTATAGAACCGACAAGATGGACAATTGTTTCCAAAAAAGAGAATTGGTTTGGAGATGTTCACAATTTCAATGAAATATGTACGGCATAATCACTTTTAGATAGTTACTTTTTAAGCTTAACTTTCATCTTCTCGGCTCTTTTCAATATCTGTTCAAAGGGCATAAGCTTTTGGATGATCACATTGTCGCGTTTGCATTTGAATAGTATTTTCAAAAGTGTTATGAATGACTTCGATTCAATGATGATGAACATTTTGGCCTCAAACAACACAAAATTTTCAATTGACACACAAATAAAATTGTTAGAAATATCAAAAGTTATTGTAATTTTCTTCTCCAGAGCTGAGATATTTTGGAGATATTAGTTCATTGGTTCCAACAATGCGTTGCTATTTCCAGAATTTTGACTTTTATGATAGCTTTTCACATGTTTCATCTAATTTGTTGTGTTTGATCCAATGTTTTTTAAGACATCCTCAGAAAAGCACCATGACTTTGTGCAGTATTTATAGTATAACAACACCTTATCATATTTGTCTAGACGATTGATGTGTTCATAAACTGTACCTTTTGATTTTGTTACAAATATTTTTGTTGAAGATGGCGAGTATTATAAATCTATTGACTTTCGACCATGTATCAAATCACTATCATCCAATAAAATTGCAATCTTGTCATTGCTAGAAAAAATCACATGTTCATTTTAAAATTTTAACAAGAATTAGATTATCCGAGCCAACAATCTGATTAATTAGAGTTAGGTTATGGGCAATTTTTTTTCCTCTATTGTTGAACCGTGGTTGGAATGCTGACAACAAAAACGACTGATTTGCTGGAATCTTCATCGTTGACATCGATCAAATGTGGCACATTCAAATGTTCTTATGTATCTTGCCAACCAAACAGTAGGACGAGATGATAAAAGCAATGTACAAAGTTGTCCAAACGGTTCAATTGTTAGGGGAGTTTTATCCAAAGTAACGTAGCTTGCTGACATTGCTTACAAAGGCATTGTCGGCCTCGGCGTAAGATGACTTTCTTGGAGTAGGAGCAAGCAAATATGAAAGTCAAGAATGAGCATGATTTATCAATAAAAATTTATTAACGAGCTTGGATAGAATCAGAGATTAATGATACATGTGAAAGCATACTCACATTAGTCGACGAGTACATGACTCATTTTCAATAAATTGACTTCATCAAAGATAATAATGCCCTCTAACATGTTTATGATGTTGTGCTTGTGTCATGTTTACATAAATCATCATCCATTCTCACCTTGAGCACTTTTTTTCTAGAATTTTACTCAAGTATTTTTGAATCTAGCATTCAAAGAGAGATAATATTATTTTTATATCAAATATAACTTTGACTTGAATCAATGTAGACTTCATCAGAATTTAAATTTTAAAAGATCCAATATTTTTAAATCTAAAATCTTGATAATCTTGCATAAACACTAAAACATTTGATATTGATTATTTTTTTCAAAATTATCTAATGTAAGAAAAAATACATTACATCACTAATATTC